CAAAGTACGCTTTTTATCGAGGTGTGCGATGCAGTCTGAAAAGGGCGCATGTCCGAGGGTACAGGCTGAGGACTTAGGACGTAGTGCAGACACCCATGCTGTCAGTGCCCAGCACCCGGGCACAGGGCCAGAGTGGGACCCCCAGAGCCCCTCCAGCCCCCCCACCGCCGCCCCAAGGCCGCTTGCACATAGCCCCTCTCCAACACGCAGACCCGTTGTGCCTGCTGCGGACTCTATCGAATGTGCAGAAATGGACTCAAAGATGTGCCCCTCCGTGCCCTGCTTCCGCCAGTCACCATGCCGCGCAAGGCCCCACCTGTGTCGTCGGGGCGCCCCCGGGGTCTGCCACGTGGGCCGACCACGCTTGATTGTGCGGCCGCCGCTGGAGGGCCTGGGCTGCCTCCAGGTTTTCTCACGAGTGAGCTGCTCTCAGCGTCCTCGGAGGGGGCCTGCGGGGAAACAGGCACCCGTTTTCGGTGGGCATCTGCCCCGAGGGGGCTGGCCGCGTTATAGGGTGCACACCCGCGGTGTCGTGGGGGATCCTGCCGACAGCCCTCCCGGGGTTTGCGCCCGTGGCGCTCGGGTCCGCGCTGTGCTGACGGCTCCGCGGCTCCATGTCCTTGTGATGCCCGACGCGGTGGCGTCCCCGCGCCGACCTGCAGGATGTGAGGCGGTGCCCGGGGTGCCCGCTGTCACCCCCCTGACGACGGGTGCTGGTGACCCCCTCGGTGTGCGCTCACTGCCTCTCGCGGCCACTCTCCGTGTCAGGTCTACGTGAGAACGACACAGGTACGGCGAGCACACTCTCCTCTCCCTCCTTCCCTCCTTCCCTCCTTCCCTCTAGCACAAGTTGGGGTGCTTCCTTCTGTGCCTGCTTTTCTGCCTGCGCCGCGGAAGTTGTCACTTCGCCGTCCTTTCGGCCACTGCGGCTTATCCAGTGCCCCTGGCTTCCTGTCCAGGGGCGTTTCCGCCACCTCACTTTGGACACCACACTCACACCACCCCTCACGCCACACTCACACCGTACCGCACGCCACACTCACACACTTAACACAACACTCACACCACACATCACCACCCCTCACACCACACTCACACCATATCTCATACCACACTTCACACTCCATGTCATACCACCCCTCAGACCCCATGTCATGCCATACTCACCCCATAACTCATGCCACACTCACACCACCCCTCACGCCACACTCACATCACCCCTCTTGCCACACTCGTGCCACACATCACACCTCACCTCACACCACCTCACACCACATTCACACCACACCTCACACCACACTTACAGCACATTCACACCACACTCATACCACACTCACCACCACACCACACCTCGTACCACACTTCATACCACACTCATACCACACTCACACCACACATCATACGACACTTCATACCACACTCACACCACACTTCATACCACACTCACACCACACTCATACCACACTCACACCACACATCATACGACACTTCATACCACACTCACACCACACTTCATACCACACTCACACCACACTTCATACCACACTCACACCACACATCATACCACACTTCATACCACACCCAATGCATACACCAGATATTACCTACTATGGTCTTCCAGCTGAAATTCATTTGTTGAAAATCTGATGCCCAAGATGATGGTATTAGGAAGCTGGACCTTTGGGAGGTGACTAGGTCATAAGGGTAGGGTCCCATAAATGGGATTAGCACCCTCTAAAGGACATCTTAGCAAGCTCCTTCACCCCTTCCTCCATATGAGGACCCCGCCAGAAGTCTGAGACTGGAAGAGTATCCCCCACCCCATCCTGCTGGCACCCTGATCTCCCGCCTCCAGGAGTGTAAGGGATAAACATCTGTTTTTTCTAAGCCCTGGTCTGTGATGTTTTGTCAGAGCTGCCTAAGCAGATGAGGTCTTTAGCCGGTACTTATGTTATTTCCTTCAATCTTCACAGAACCCAATCTTGAGTTCATTTAAGAGGTGTGTCAAGTGCAGCTCAGAGAGGCCAAACGTCTGGCCTGAGTGCACACAGCTAGCGAGTATCAAGGAGAGTTCTGGCCAGGTCTGACCCTAAGCACATGCTTTTGTCCCTAGGAGGAGAGATGTGCCAGCACCGTCATTTCCAGGAGTCCCAAGCTCCTCCCTCCAATCCTAGTGACACACCAGATCTGCTGGGATGAGACACAGCTGCTGACCTGGCCATTGTGCAGCCAACAAGGGGGGCAGGGGGGCGGTGTCTTCGATATAAACCGGTCCCGTTCCATGCCTCAAAAACACACTGCTAACCCTCCATGGGAGACAGTGCGGAGCGCAAATTCCTAACTGTTCTTGGCTGCTCCTCAGCCTCTGGCCCTCATGAGTTTATCTTTATGTAACACAGACTTTCTAAACACTTCAACATCGCTATGAAAATCCAGATCGTTTCTGGCAATTAAAGACCTGACTCACCCATTGTTCCTGCTCATTGTCATTTTAGGAAATTCCTCCAAATGGGGCTCCTGTGGGTTCAGGCAAGCGGGCCTTCCAGTGACCCCCACGCCATGTGTCAGGTCACCCCTCACCTGTTGGAGGGGCGTACTTTCCAGTTTTATCAGGACAGGCTGCTTCTGACATCCTCGTCTTTCCTGGACTCATCAGTTCTGGGATTCACCCATATTCTTTCCCAAATTTTTAAAACAATTTCTCTCACTTTATTATTTTTGGATTAATGCAAATGAAAGCTGCCTTTGGCTCTCTGAAATGGATGAAAGGGTTGCTAGAGTCACAAGCTTCAAGTTGGCTCTGATGGAGAAATATCAATAGTAGACTCTGCAGCATTTTTCAACCACACCCTTCTTTAGTCTGAGATGAGGAGGAGGAAGCAGAGGGGAGGAGGAGGAGAAGGAAGGGGGGAGGAGGAGGAGACCAGGAGAGGAGGATGGGGAGGAGGGGAGGAGGAGGAGAAAAGCAGGAAGAGGAGAACGAGGGGGGAGGGGTAGGAGGAAGAGGAGGGAAGAAGGAAGAGGAGGAGGAGAAAGAGGAGGAGGGAAGGAGGAAGAGGAGGAGAAGAGCAGGAAGAGAAGGAGGAGGGGAGGAGGAGGAGGAAAATGAAGGGGGAGGGGGAGGAGGAAGAGGAGGAGGAGGGAAGGAGGAAGAAGAGGAGGAGAAGGAAGGGGGGAGGAGGAGGGGACCAGGAGGGGAGGACGAGGAGGAGGGGAGGAAGAGAAGAAGAGAAGGAGGGGAGGAGGGGAGGAGGAGGAGGAAGGCAGGAGATCCCTTCAGCAGTCTGCATCGGATGCAGGATGCAGCACATTCTGGAGCTGGACATCATGCTCCCTTCCACCCCACTGGCCAGAAGAGAGACACAGTCATATCTACTTGGGACCTTGTGTCTTTAGTAAGGGTGGATTCTGAGATGGTGAGTCCTTGGGCTGGACCATCCCAAGTCTAGTTACAATCAGTATTCTCACCTAAGAAGCAGGGTGGGTAATGTAGCGGCTTCTGCCGTGACACCCATCACACCGGTTTTAATGTGGGTGCAGATATTCTGTTGAGAGACCCAGAGAACCCAGCGTGCAGCCTGGATATATGTTCTCACCCTGGTTTCTCTGCACAGAGCTCTGTGATCTGCCAGGGTCTCAGTCTGGACCCCGTGCAGACCGGGTTCAGGCGTGAGAGCAAGGGGTTCATTTGGGAGGTGGCCTCAGGAGGCAGGGGGCGGTGGTAGGGGTGAGGCAGACGACGGGGAAAAGAAGGAACCAGTTCAGGGTGACCAGTGTGGGCAGCAGGGCTCCCTCCGTCTGGGCCTCGGGGGGACTGCATGGATCACCCTCATAGGGTTTCACCTGGGACCACTGCCCGCCAGCTCTCATGGCACTGGTGGAGGGCCGCTGGTTGCTCCTGGGCCCATGGGGGAGACTGTGTCCCAGGCTTCTCCCCCGGCTCTCGGTGGTTTGCTGGCCTCTTCGATGTCCCTTGGCTGGTGGATGCATCGCCCCACGCCCACCCTCATCTTCACTGTTCTTCCTGTGTGCGTGTTTGTGTCCGCCTTTCCCGTTTTTATAAGGACGCAGTCATGTTAGATTGGAGGCCAATGCCAGTATGACTTCATCTTAACTAATTACATCTTCAAGGATCCTATTTCCAAATAAGGTCACATTCTGAGGTCCTGGGAGCGAGGCGTCCACAATTCAGCCCGTAACCGGGCGGAAGAAGGAGGGAAAGGGGGCTGCCAGGTTACCTGTGGGACAGCCGGCCTCAGGCGGGTGCAGCCCCACGGGCAGGGAAAGGTGTGTGTCCAGCTCACCTGCAAAGCAGGGGCACCATGACACCTTCCCGTGAGACACTTAGTGTTTGAACTAGTGCTTCCGAGCAGCGACCACGTGGAGGGAAGCTGGAGCTGCGCTGGGTGGACTTCCATTTGCCGCTCATCGTGGCCTGTGGTTTGCACAAGCCGAGGCAGCCGCGGGGGCCTCACCTGAGCCAGGCGCAGCCGGGGGGGGGGGGGAGGTGGGCCCCCGACTGTGCCGCGGGTGCCCGTTTTCAGCCTCGGGGTGCTGGGGCCGCACGGGGAGAGCAAATGCCTCACCCGCTCCACACACACTCGGCATCTGAGCGTGCTCCAGGGTGTCAGCATTCGGGCCCGAGAGCTAGTTGCTAGCCATCCTCCTCCCCCTGGAGAACAATCCGTTTAAAACTTCTGAGCTGTCTAGACTTGTTATCTGGCCCCTAATTCCTGCGAGCCCCGAGCGGGCAGCAATGGGACAGTCGAGATAGCAAGAGGGTGAAGTCATTGGCGTAAATCCTGCGGCAGGAAGTCGGTCCCAGGGACGATGGATGAGCGTGGGGCTGGTGCCCGCACGGGGGGCAAGATAACGCGTCTAGACTCTGCTGGCCATTTCCTCCTCTTCCTTTAGGTGGCCTATCGGCCGGCCCCCTGCCTTCCTGCTCGCTCTTCCGGGCCTCGCAGGAGAGAGCCTCTCAGGAAGATCTCGGCCGTTTCCAGCGCGAGGCGGGGCGTGGGTGCTCTCTCTCAGCCTCGGTGCTGGCGGGGGCCGAGGCCCTTCTGGAAAGGCCCCGGCGGCCTCTGTCACTTCGTCATTTCTGAGAGTTCAGTGGGTTAGGGGAAAGATGACGTTTTCTCTCGCCGGTCTCCAAAGGTCAGTGGAAGGTCACTGGTGGGACCGGGAGGACACAAGCTGATGTCACACAGACCCAGAGACTTCCACGAGCCCTGGGGGAAAGCCTGAGGCAAGTCTTATCTAACACAGCCCCTGAGAGCCGCCGAAGGCTGAATCACCTCGCACTTCCGGAAAGAGGAGTTAATGTCGCTGGCCCGTGCGCTTGCCCGGTGATCCCAAATCCCGCTGCTCGGGCGGGAGAGAGGTCAAAAGGCCATTTGGTTCAACCCCCCGCCTGCGGGCAGGCCTCCCCCAGCAAAGGCACCGTGCGTGTTCCCTCGCGGGGCCACAGGTGAGGATGGGCGGGGAAGCAGCCGGGAGCACCTGGAGGGAATGAGGAAGCGGCAATCCCCAGCACCTGCTCACAGTGCGTTGGGTGCGCAGGGTCGCGCTGCGGTGGGCGCGGGGCCTCTGTGCGGAAGGCCCGCGGTGTCGGGAGAACAGCCGCGGCCACGGCGGCCACACACACGACAGCATTGGGACAGCAGTAAAAGCAAAAATGCCTTGAGCACTTGCCATGCGGTGCGGCGGCTGGACAGGCGAACCCCATCTCACTGACTCGTCCAAACAAGCCCGTGGGCTGGAGGGGCAGGTACTGTTAGAATTATCCCCAAACTGAGGCTCCGAGAGGGAGGGAATCTGCCCAGCGTCGCCTCGCTGGGAGGAAGGGGGCCCAGGACGTGGACCCAGGCGGGGCTGGCCTCAGAGCTGCGGGGTGGCTGGCCAGGGGCTCTGCCTCCCGTGGGGGCGCCCCGTGCTCGGCGGCCTCCGTGGCTTCCTGGCCGCTGCTGGACAGGTGGTTGGAGGAGACCCAGGTTACACGGCTGATACACAGAGGGTCAGACGTCCCCCCACCCCCAGGCCTCCCTTGAGCCCCTCCTGTTCCTCCGCGTGCAGTACCCTCCGGCAGATCTGAATGCCCCATGCTCCGTGGCGGAGGTGGAGGCAACTTCCCCCCACCAGGACGTACTCTCCCTACGCTCGCTTCACTGAGGTGGATCCAGCACGTACTGTGTTCCCATCAGACATACGAGAGAAGCTGTGCCGTGTGTGAGAGGGGTCAGGTCACCAAGAGGAGCACTTGTCAAGATGCAGAAGGACATTGAGAGTCACCCAGCCACTGACAGAGCCTCAGGCGAGAGCTGGACCCCAGAAAAGGCAGCACAGAGATTGAGAGGGACGAGGAGGGACGGGGCCAAGAGTGACTTGGAGTCCCAGATGGCCACGGTGGGGATGCCACCTAATGTGGGAACCCAAGGAGAAGTGACATTTGTCAGGAAGGCCCCATCAGTAGGGGGCATCCCAGGAAATAGTATACAGCCATGAAGAAGAATGACGGGCTCTTTATATGACAACATGGAAGGAACTTCAAAACAGATGAATGAACAACCACAAAGCTCCAAACCGTATGTATAATGTGCTTCCCTTTGTGCAGACGGGGCCCGCCCTGGAATGACTTCCCGTGTGTGCAAACTTACGTGTGTAGTGTGTGTGCTCATGGACATGCGTGCATACAGTCACCCGCTTCTGTGCCTACGAGCTTTCCAGGTATTCGAACCCCGGGCAGGTGCCCGTGTGGAAAGGCCACAGGGAAATGCCTTTTTGTGCCTTGAATTTTAGCCATATGAATATATGGTCTTAAATCCGTCCTGTTATCTAGTCTGACGTTCTCTTGAATAGTAAATGGCCCCCTTTGTGCCAGGGACCTCCACCCCCAGGCGTCCCAGGGGCGAGCAGCAAGAGAAGCTTGGGGGTCCCCCCCACTGCCGGCCAGCACCCTCCATGGCGCCCACACCCGGTGGCCTTGCTCAGCGTGGTGCTGGGACGCACGCCCCCAGATGCTTTTTGCAGCACCGCTGTTCTAGAACCTGCGCCAGAGCCCCGACTGTCCGCAGTCCCAGCAGGTCCTGAGCAGCTTCCTGCAGGGTTAGCAAACGAGTTCTTTCAAGAAGCTTAAACACCTTCCCCCAGGCGGGAGGCCGGAATCCTGGGAGGCCGACGCCCAAGGATTTATTGGCCTCCCCAGTGCTCGGACTTTTTGACTTGCCCGTTGAGAGAGGCAGGGGTCAGGGGTTATCTCCGGGTGGGCAGTTGGGGGCTGCCTGCGGCCTCTCCCTCCCTGCGGCATCTGCTAGAACCATTAAGGGGTCCCCCCTTCTCAGCAACAGTGGGTGTCCAGCTCGGGTTACCGACCTCCGAGCTGCCCATACACCGAGCAGACCCCAGGCAGGGCCGAAACGGCGGTTCACGATTCCAGTCAGGAGGGGCAGTGGCAGGAGGGATGGACAGGGAGACAGTCCCCCATTGGAGCAGATCTGAGGCCACTTGCATGTGGCGTGCTGTGGGGACCATGGGAGGTGGGAGGGGGACGTTTGTTCTTGCCGCTGAGGGTCCGGAGGCAGTCGTAACAAATGGCAGCCCGTGAGCCTTGTGGGAGGCCCCGGGGTCAAAACGGAAAGAGTCACAGGGAGGGACCGCCGCACTTTGAATTGCTCGTTCAGGCCGCCAGAAGGCAGCGCAGCGAGGCCTGGGCGTTCCTCGCTGTGGAACTTGGGATGAGTGCGCCCTGCTCTGGGCCTCAGTTCACACATCTGTAAAACGGGACGGATCATTCCTCTCTCCTGAGTGTCCGGCTGAAGGGAGATGAGGCAGAGCCAGTGCACGGCCGTAAGAGCAGCCCCTCTGAGGCCATGCGGCCCAGCCCCACAAGAGCACCCTGTGGGGATTCCGTCCTTGTCCCCATTTTACAAGACGCTGAAGCCAAGAGAAACAGAAACCCACCCAGCATCTCAGAGCTAGTGAGAGGCAGGCCTGGATTTGAACCGAAGCCCGTGCTGGGGTCTTCGTCCATCGGCCCGGCTGCCTCCGGCTGGCTTTCCCCTTGTTACTGGCCCCCTCACCCCCCGGGCAGTGATCTTCCTCGGCCACCGGCCCCTGCGTGGCTCGGGCTCCTGTGTGTGCAGGTGAGCTGTGATGTCAGGCCCGCGTTGTTTCCCAGACTCCGTTTAACCTGGAGGATGCCCTTTCTCAAGGCCCAGCGAGGGAGGACTGCGTCCCCTGTGCGATCTCCAGAGAGATTTATGCAGTTTGGCGGGCTGGCCGTGCATTATTACATTTCCTTCTCCTTCATTAATCTTGTGGCGGCGCTGGCCCCTCCTGACAGTGGGAGCTGCAGCCTGCAGGCCAGAAATCTTGCACAGATGACGAGGGCGCGGGCGAACAGGCGGGCGCTTATCTTGGGAGAGGCCTCCGCGCTGCCTTGAGGACCGGGTGGTGGGCTGCCCGCCACCCCCGGGGAGGAGGCCCGCTCCCCTCTGCAGAATCAGGTGCTGACGGCACCGCTCGGCACCGTGGAGGAGCAAGTGCGGAATGAGCGGGACGCTTGGTCCCCCTGGATTCATGCGGGGCTCAGGCAGCCAGAATCACTTTCTTCTTGTTGGTTTTCGTACTGTTTGCTGAGAATTTACAGTGGCTGCTGGGCCACGTACTTTCCTTTCATTTCCTTATATTTATGTGTCTCGGTGTCCTTGGACGGACGTCCAGCTCATCACCGCTTTCTACACGAGGACACGGTGGCCCAGGAGGCCGGAGGGACAAGGCCCCCTGTCAGCAAGCAGCACAGTTAGGCCAGGTCCAGGCCAGCCCAGCACTGCTCGTGTCCACGGCCGCCTGGGATGGGCTGTGGGATTCCGTTCTTCATTCATTACTTCTGTAGCAGCCGTGCTGAGGGACCGTTCACACGCCACGCAGGTCACCCGTTTAAAATGTACGATCCAGTGGCTTTTAGAATATTCATCCCAATACGTTCCGGAACGCTTTGTCACCCCAAAAAGACCCCTCGTCCCTTTAGCTGCCACCCCCAAAGTGCCCATTCCCAACGGCCCGAGCACTTCCCACTCCGCTTCCTGTCTCTGGTGCACATTCCATTGACGACCCCTGTGTCTCATCCGTCCTGGTCCAGAGTCCCCACCGCCTCCAAGATGCCTCAGGGCCTTCCTTGTCTCCTCTGGGGGGCCGTGCTTACTGCCATTCTGGTTGGAACTGCGAGGGTGTGGGGGGCACTTTGGACCTTGGGGCTGTAGCCCTCAGGGAGCGGGAGGCCCAGTTCCAGGGGGTGGGGGCAGAAGAGGGCAGGCGGACCCTGCTGGGGATCCTGGTGGGCAGTGGGCAGTGGGGAAAGGGAGCCATCGGCTACATTGCAGGCCCTGAGTCAGAACAGGAGGTGTAAAAGGAGGAGTTGGGGTCCAAGTGAGGACGAGGGGGCAGGGGCTTCAGCAGAGAAAACTGAGTATGCCAAGATGAGGAGGTAGGAGAACAGGGTCCCTTTAGGAACGTTGAGGAACTCAGTGTGAAGCCCAAGAGGACCGGTGGGGTGAGGGCAGGGCAGGCTGGCCTGGAGTCACGAGGACACTGGAGCTCAGTGGGGGGAGGCTAGTGAGCGCCCCCTCCCCAGTCTGTGCACAGTCCCCTTGAAGGCAGCTGCACCTCCATTTTTCTGAGTTCCCAGCTCCCAGGCAGGTGACCCAGGGGAACCGCAAACAGAGAAGCTGGCCTGGCTGCAGAGCATGAGGACAGCCCCGGGGCGCAAGCCTCCCCAGCAGCCTGTCTGAGTAGGGAGCGGGGTGCTACCGACAGGCTTGGCCGCCAGCGTGCGGCCCGCAGTCTTGTTGCGTTTCCCACCGGCCGGCTGCGTGATGGGGCAGAGGAGGGCGGGCCCCCTGGTTTTCATGACCTGTCTTTAAGCGTTGAGGGCGCCGAAGGCCAAGGGGCAGAGCAGCCCAGGAGGTGGGGTGTATCTGTTGGTGGCGAGCGTGGATGGGGTCCCCCCGGGGCCGGTTGAGGAGACCTACCCCCCCCCCCCCACGGGACCCGGTCGGTCAGCAGCACCCTTGGCGTTCTGGGCTCTGGAACCTTTGGGTCGCCCCCGTGAGACAGTCACTGCTTAGACAGCACTGGCTTGTACCCCCAGCTCGGAGTGGCTCAGGGTTGTTCCGTAAACAAGTCACTCTCACTCCCTCACATTCCAAAACGTCTGCTTGAGTGGGAGACCAAGTTGGAGGTACAGCTCCTGCATGGAAGTCACACAGAACCGTAGCCCCGCCGGCCGAGGCCCCTCGCCCGTCCGGGTGTGGGGGCCGTGGCTCCATGTCACCCTCTCCCGTCCCCTGCCGCCCCCACCAGACCCCAGCGCTCTGTCTCATGCTTCATTTGGAAGCGTTCAGAGAGGACGTTTAACAAGGGTCTTGCGGGCAAGATGGCACCACTGTGGGACACAGGACAGGGCAGCTCTTCGTGGACAGATGACCCAAAGGTGTCCCCTCTGGGCAGATGGAGCCTAGAAAGGAGCGCTTCCCTGAGGCGTGGGGGTCAGTGCAGGGTGCAGGGCGGGCGGGTGCAGCCCCGTGGGCAGTGAAGGGACCCCACCCCCTTAGCCCTCTGTTTACCCAGCGGTTGAGCCCAGGAGCCTCACCGAGACAGGGCAACTGCCAGTGTTTATTAAGCTCCTCTGGTTTACCCACCGTGAGGGCCGAGTGATGGGGACGGAGCCTGGTTGCCTTCCAGCATTCCAGCATGGATCCGGGTAACAAATGCCCCATATATCCTCTTGCAGCCTGGATTTCCTGCCTGGCGCTAGAGAGCCGGAGAGGGGGTAGGGGTGGCGTGTAAGGTTTCCTCTGTCCTCCCCCCCCGTCCCCCCAGCTCCCAAACCATCCATCAGTCCACGGCTCACCTGTGAAACCCAAGGCTGGGAACCACAGTGCTATTCCGTTACAGAATCAAGATTTATCGGAACATGACAGGTCTGTGGGGCTTTTATGACATGCATGGCGCCAATCCCTTCTGTTAACCTGCTTGTCCCTGGTGGGCCGGGGGCGTTTTACGACTGCCAACACCACTCCATCTGCTCCTGAGCTTGTGGCGTTTTGACAGCAAGGACAAAATGTCCAGCTTTGTCCAGGCCCCGTGGGCTGGATTATCACTTCAGCACTTGCGAGCCGGGCCTGCGTCCCCCTGGAGCGAGACCCCCTGGGCTCTGCAGCCCCCTCCCCGGCTCGGCCTGGTGTGAATGTCATTCAGATCACGCTCTGACAGTCCCATGAATTATCTGTTTTCAGGCCTGCCTTCCCAGTTCTTTCATCTCCATAGCAGAAGCCACGTTGGGGTGTAAAGAGGGGGTTTCCTTCTCGTGAAATAATCCATTGACATCTCTACAAAGGCCCCCATGACACCTAAATTGCCTGTGTCTCATGGAAGGAAGACACGACTGGGGACCATTTGGAACCTCTTAAAAAAGGAGGTTGGGGCCTCCTGGAGGCTGCTGGGGAAGTGCCGCTCGGGTGGGCAGGAGGGACTCTGGGTCGTGGCCGGGAGCCTGGCCCAAGCGTCTTAACGATCTGGTTAAGAA